AACTGCATTGACAGACAGTGTTGAACTGCATTGACAGTCAGTGTTGAACTGCATTGACAGTCAGTGTTGAACTGCATTGACAGTCAGTGTTGAACTGCATTGACAGTCAGTGTTGAACTGCACTGACAGTCAGTGTCCTGCGCCCCGTGTTCTCCAGATACTGATCGTTGATCGCTTTGTTGCGTTACATCATTGAATGTTCAATGTATACTTGCATTTATAACTGTGTCGGTATTAGGGGGATCGCTGAATTATTTCCTGCTTCCTTTGGCCGATTAAATTTTTCTTAGGAATTCAATTCTAATTATATCATCAAAGTCAATGAGAACATGGTACGTTATGTTATTACTTACACTTTACGTTATGGAATTTTGCGTTACTAACATTTATCTGAAACGTATTGCTTTCGTAACGCTGTGTATAATTGTATAACACTTATGCACACACGTGTACGTGCACACGCACGCATGCACGCACGTGTACGTGCACACGCACGCACGCACGTCTACGTGCACATGCACACGCGCGCACACACGCACGCACGTGTACGTGCACACACACGGACGCACGCACGTGTACGTGCACACGCACACACTCACGCATGCACGCACGCACACGCACGCACATTTACATACGCACGCATGCATAATAAATCGGTAATAATCGCTATCGGGTGTTGTCGTGTAGCCGCTACATAATCGCTAACTCGAGTTAACGCTTAACTCGAATTAGCTTAACTCGATTTAAGCGTCGTCGTGTAGACGAGGTTTATGGGGTTTATAGTGAGAACGAAAAGAAGCTCTAAATAATTTGGACTAGGATTTTCGCAGAATGTATTTACAAACCACTTTGTTCGTAACCTGGCTGTGCCTTGTAGAGTTTCTTGACCGGCTACTTGTATAAGGTGATCATATGAGAGAAGATGAGAGAGGGGAGAGAGAAAGAGAAAGCGAGGGCGAGCGAGCGACAAAGAGGTGGTAAAGCGAGACCGAACGAGAAAGGGGGAGAAGATAACTAGACATGAAGAGAGAGATAGAGAGAGAGAGAGAGAGAGAGAGAGAGAGAGAGAGAGAGAGAGAGAGAGAGAGAGAGAGAGAGAGAGCGAGCGAGAGAGAGAGAGATAGAGAGACAGCGAGTGCGAGAGCGAGCGAGCGACAGAGAAAGAGAGAGGGAAAGCGAACGAGGGAGAGATAGATAGACACACAGAAAGAGGGAGAGAGAGCGCGCGTGAGGGATAGAGGGAGAGAGAGATCACGAGGGAGCGTGAGCGACAGGGAGAGAGAGACCACGAGGGAGCGTGAGCGACAGGGAGAGAGAGAGAGCGCGCGAGCGAGAGTGAATGAGATAGAGAGCGAGAGCGAGAGAGAAAGAGAGAGAGAGAGAGAGAGAGAGAGAGAGAGAGAGATAGAGCGAGAGAGAGCGCGCGCAGGAAAAGGATAGATAGATAGGATAGAGTTAGATACATGGGTAGATAGATAAATTGAGAGAAAGAGAAAGAGGCACAGATGGTGGGAGAAAGGGGGCGACAGAGAGGGGGAAAGTCAAAGCGAACGAGCGAACGAGAGAGATGGAGATAGATAGACATGAAGTGAGAGAGAGAGAGAGAAAGAGAGAGAGCGCGCGAAAGAGAGAGGGGTAGAACGAGAGAGAGAGAGAGAGAGAGAGAGAGAGTGCGAGAGCGAGCGAACGACACACAATAGTTTTATGCTGGTCAGAGCTGCATCCGACGGTTGCAACCATTCACAATCCAAATTGAGCTTGAAATTCACAATCTGAAAACAGATACCTTGTTTTTAACAAGTTGGCTGGGTATTTCTCACAGTAGCTATTAGTTTTTATCAAAACTATATCTTATTCAGTAATTTACCTAAAACAACGTTTTGCAGGGTGTAGGCTGTATGCTGCATACCATTGAGCCCAAGATTTACAAACAGTGTAATTTTATTACAAAGACGCGAATTCACCCTCCCAAAATGCCACCAAGAATTAGATTGCCACAAGCAGTATCGACTTGATATTACTCTGCTAACTTAATATGCAACTCTCAGCAAGGGTTACACTGACAGGTGTGAGTTCATGTTGTACGTGGCGTGCATCCACGTTGTTGTTATATACAGGTCGTACTGTACAGTAATACCCCTTGCGTTACGCAAGTTCGCCAATAATGTGTATCGCATGACCGATACGATACAGAAATTCGTTGCTACACAATTTCTCGCTCGCCATCAATAACATTGAGCTGGTTATATTAGACAGCTTCCCAGACTTTAGAGGGCGCCACGTTCCTGATGTGTGGAATGTTCGTGTTTCTGCAATCCGTGTTCTTTTTCTTCATTAAATTATTTTTAAAATAATTACGTTAATTTATTCCTAAAAAACACGCTTGTAATGCGAAATTCCTTAGCGTGAATCGCATTGTATATAAATGGAGATGCATTCCTACGTTAGGTATTTTTTCCGAGTTACATCATTAAATAACTCATACATGCTTGACAGTGTTGAACTGCACTGACAGTCAGTGTTGAACTGCATTGACAGTCAGTGTTGAACTGCATTGACAGTCAGTGTTGAACTGCATTGACAGTCAGTGT